CCCCCTTTTTTTCCCCCCCCCCCCCCCTTGCAGAGCAGAGAGATTGGAGAGGAAGGGATTACAAGACAATAAGCAGGCACACAATGGAGAATACACATTGAAAGCAAACAGCCCAGTGTATTCCCCATTGTGTGCCTGCTTACTCTCTTGTAATCCCTTCCTCCCCAATCTCTCTGCTCTGCAAGGGTGGGGGAAACAGGTCAGGCACAGGAGAGACTGCCTACAAAAATCACTCATTTATTTTCTTTTTCCCCCTTCGCTTGTGCTCTGTGAAGTATGCTTATGTGTGCCTCATGTTTGTGTGTGCCTGTGAGTGTATTAGCATGCTAGGTTGAGACAGGGGTTGTCATTGCCAATACCACTGCCCCCAAGTGGGGACAACCCAAAGAGGAGGGGCAAATTGCCAGGAAGTGATAAGTTGACGGTGAAGTAGGAGAGCTGGAAGTGGCTCCGGGCTGTTGGGAATTGGGGGAGAGGCAGGTGCCACCTTCTCCCTTTGCTTTCCTGCTTTAGGGAGCCTGAGGTGGTGCGCTGATTGTTTTTGTTTGTAACTGGAAATGGATTCACTACACCAGTAGTAGCAGCTGTAGTCGCTGCAGTAGAAAAGGAAAGCACGGCCGCAGTCATGTGATTTCCCATTTAGCTTAGCAATGAAGTTGCCAGTCCCAATTCTGGTCACTTTACGAGGACTACCTGTACTGTGATACATTTCTTTATGTCTGTATAATTGTCATTGTGTGCCACTGGTTTCTGTCATATCTTATACATAATTCTGTATATAGAATTATGTGCAGACCTCGGGATAGTGAGCAAGCTATAAATATTTTAAATAAAAATGAATAATTGAATGGGTTGAATCCATGGAGTTTACTTTAAATGATTATTCATATGACTGCAATTTTAATCTGAAATTTTTTACTTTGCGTTGAGGAAGAGGTCTTAAATCGTGTATATAATGTCTACAATCAGTATTCATTTGTTGGGAGTAATTTTTATTGAAGTTTGCACAGCTTATTCCTGAGTAAACTGTAACAATAGACAGGTTTTTTGAGCTGGTGATACATTTTGAATTTTGCAAGCATATTAGAGGCAGAGCCAAAGCCTGTTACATATCACCCGTTTATTTGAAAACAAACTATGAAGTTGCTCCATGGTATGTATGTATGTATGTTTGTTTGTTTATTTATTTATTTTACATTAAGCTTCCACTCCACTTGACTATTTGTCTGGAACACCATGATCATCTGCTTTTCTGATGTACAGAGGCATGATTATAAAGAAAGATGTTAGGGAGCCGATTTGTTGTAGCATATCAATTACCCATTTATATATTGTTTTAATTAAAATAAAGTTTTAAACTTTAAGAAAAAGTTTGCCTAGTGGAAAGGGAGGTGCCAGAAGGCATCCTTATCTACTCCTCTTGTATAGGATTGTTTTGTAGATTATTCTGTAAAGAAAAAACAATAAATTCTGGATTACTTTGCCTATACAGGAGTTGCAACTGTTCTGTATGAGTGCCGATTGGGGTGCCTGGAAAATCAAATTCCCAAGTGTACGTTGGAATATATTGAAGCATTGGAGTTGATGTTTAGCAGTTTCAAATCTACTATGTATGCAGGGGCTATTCCCAAGTGGCTTCGTCCAATTATTCCAAAACCTTGGAGAGAATTCTGTAGATCGTGGGATGGACTCTTTAAATTTAGTAAGTGTTCTTTTTTTTTTAATGGAAATTATTCAAATATCATTTATGACAGCTAAAGAAAGTCAAAGTGTGACTGTACAAGCAGTCTGAAATACCGGACCTAGGAATACTAATTTTGTTAAATTATGTCAAAAATTGAAATTAAATGAGCCATATCTTCGGCCCTAATTGTACACATATTTATTGTTGCAACAATCAAAATATCACATTCAAATCTAAGTGCTAATTTATTTGTTTAAAAAAGTCAGAATCAATTATTTGACTAACAATATACCAATAGATTATTATTTGTATAGTTACTATTGTATAATTATTATTCACTCTCAGTCTTTTAATCCTGGGAAATATTCTTATAATGTAGTAGCTTTTATCCTTGGTTTTTCCACAAGCAGAAAATAATTTCCCAATCTTTCTCCAAACTTCATTTTGGTCTATCCAGACATAATGTTGTGATCCTCCAAATTCTTTTATGCTTTCTTCTTTCCTGCATAATGATTTTTTTTTTTCAGTTCCAAGTCAGGTTGGACAAATTATGATTACTATTAATCTTTAAATAATAATCTGAAGTTGCTTTTCAATGTCCTAGCAAACTATGTAGAGGGAGCTGAAAATGGAGGTGGAATGTATACACAAATAGGCAAAACTTTTCCTCATACAGTATTTTAAAACACAGAAGCAAAAAAATCTTTTTTTGGCCTCCATAGAGTATGTAGGGCATTTTGGGGGGGGGGGGGGGGTGGG